CCGGCTGTGGATCTGCAAGGCTTCACTGCCACTTTCCCTGACTTAAAAATAAAAATCATCAGCTATAAAAACTACAAAAACTATCTACTGATTCTTAAAATCAGACCCTTACCTGTCCCTCGGTCCAGCGTGTCCTCACCACCGATCACTTACCTGTCCCTCGGTGTCCTCACCACCGATCACTTACCTGTCCCTGGGTCCAGCGGTGTCCTCACCACCGATCACTTACCTGTCCCGGGGTCCAGCGGTGTCCTCACCACCGATCCCTTACCTGTCCGGGGTCCAGCGGTGTCCTCACCATCGCTGATTTCACCGGCCATCTTCTCTCCCCGGCTCCGGCATCCTCAGTGTGGGCACCCGGAGGGGACAGCTTGCGGCTTCACAGCCGGGTGCCCACTGAGCATGTGCGAGAAGCTCTGCGCTTTGTGAATGACCCCATAGACTACGGGAGGGAGAGGGGAGGACAACTTCCGGTTGCGATCGCAGCAAAAGTGGGACCAGGTACCTGTCAAATTCGAGTGCCGGCTCCCCCCCACCCCCCTGCTCCCCAAAGGTGCCAATCCTTAATGGGGAGCGGGGGACAAAGGCTTAAAGCGGAACTTCCCCTTTTGGGTGGAGCTCCGCTTTAAGATGCGGCCCCTGAATTAGAAGGGTGGGCTCAGGTGAGGACATCGCAGGACAGGTAAGTGTCCTATTAGAAGTCAGCCGCTACATCATTTGTACAGTATTTGTAACTGCTGACTTTTGGGGGGACCCGGAGCTCCGCTTTAACAGGCAGGCAGTTGGTAATGCGGCGTTTGTGCGTTTCCTTTTCCTCTCCTCTTCTTCACTAAACATTCACAATGACAATGGATCGGTGTCACTGAAAACTCTTCCCAATCACTTCCTGCGATGAGGGACTCTGGCAATGCCGAGCCTCACTCATCGTCCTTCATAACAGCAAAGACAATGCTTGGTTACACATGCGTTTTGTAGACGTTGCGTTTTGTGCGTTGGTTTTTGTAGACGTTGGTGCGTTTTTTGGTGCGTTTTGTAGACGTTTGGTTTTTGCCGTTTTGTAGACGTTGGTGCCTTAGTGCCGGTCACACCGCTGCGATTTGCGAATTGAAATCACATCTAATGAATGTCGGTGTCTTAACACGTGCGCTTTGCTGCGGCACAATTTCTAAAGTAGTTCCTGCCTGACTTTTTCTGCAATTTTGTTGCGATTTCACGTACATCGAATGTAATGGAGATCGCTCTGCAAATTGCAAGAAATTGTTGAAAATCGTCACAAATTGCTATAAAATCTTCAGAAATCGCATGTGAAATCGTAGCCAAATCAAGCGATTTTATATTGCAGCAGTTTGACCGGTTACTTGCCTTCGGTTCACATCTATGCGGCCATGCGGGCACGTTTTGCGCAGGCAGGAGTCCCGGGGCAGGAATGGAGCCCCGGGACATGCAGGGAAGAAGACCCTGCACTTCCTTTGAAAACGCAGACCTCGGTTCCCAGAACTACTGACACCCTCCCGTGGGTCCCGCATTCCTCCAGATTTTTGTGCGGATCCACAGCGGCACCACCCGCACAGATGTGAACCGAGCATTAAGGTGTTTGGATCACCCATGTCCGGCTGATGGTCCCCCATGTCTGGCTGATGGTCCCCCATGTCCGGCTGATGGTCCCCCATGTCCGCTGATGGTCCTCTATGTCCAGCTGATGGTCCTCGATGTCCAGCTGATGGTCCTCCATGTCCAGCTAATCCTCCAGGTCTGTGGGCACCCAAACAGCGCAGCAAAGCAGCAATAAGGCAGAAGGGTTCCGTAATGCCGATTTCCGACGTTTCAGGGTTCCGGTGACCTGTGTTTTGTTTCAGCAGCTTGGCGGTGTCTCTTCCGGTGGAACGTGTGGTCAGGCAGCAGGACTTTCTTCCTATTTCCCTAGAGATGTACACGCAGCTCTTCCAACTCTTTCTGGATGGCAGTCCTCTTCTCCATCCCCTGCAGGTCTGGGTTCCAGATTGGACTGTAATGTAGAAGTCATGACTGCTGGCTGACGAATAACTGAATTCCTTTCTGCTCCTCGTAGGACGATCCACAGTCTGTCTTCCACAGGGGGCGCCAGTTTCTTCTTAGCTGCATTCTGAAGAGCCAACACACAAGTGCTGCATTCAGGAGTCGCCTGCCCCAGGTATGTCTGGTCCCATGTAGTCGGGGTCCTGTGTGATCTGCACTTGTGGTGGAATGTCTATTAACCACTTCTAGTGCAGACGTTCCTCCCCCCCTTCCAGTCCAGACACTTCCCCCCCCCCTTCCAGTCCGGACACTCCCCCCCCCCTTCCAGTCCGGGCACTCCCCCCCCCCCCCCCCCCCTTCCAGTCCGGACCCCCCCCTTCCAGTCCCCTTCCAGTCCGGACACCCCCCACCCACCCCCCCCCCCCCCTTCCAGTCCAGACACTTCCCCCCCCACCTTCCAGTCCGGACACTTCCCCTTCCAGTCCGGACACAGCTTGTCACATGGTACAAGGCTGCTGTGAATGGCCCTGTACCATGTGATCTCGGTGATCATTCACAGATTTCACACGTAGTAAGCAATGATGTCAGGAAATCACACAGACATCCCTTACAGTGATTGGTGTTCCGCTGTCTCCTCCGGACACAGCAGGCACCAATTGTGGTGCCGCGCGCTCTCAGGGAGCACGCACAGGCAGTGAACGCGGGTGATGTTTAGAAACATCGGCAGCGCTCCCATCCGGCTGTTTATCTACATGAGCCGGACGGGAAGAGGTTAAAGTGAATGTCTGCTTTAAAGTAGAACTCCACATTTTAATTTATATTTTTAATTTCTTATTTTCCCATCATCCCCCAGCCTCCTGTATACAGTGGTAAGTACCCAAGCTGTACTTACACCCTTCATACTCCGCGACATCTTCCTCAGTCCAGAGCCGCCGGTCCTGAGCGACACTTCATTCTGGCCTTTTATGTTCTGAGAGTCCAGCCTGGGGGGTCAGGCGTCATACGGGCCGGACTCCCAGCCCTTATGAGGAAATTTTCCTAGCAATGGGCTTTAACCCCTTCGTGCCGACGTCACACATATGCGTCCTCACAACAATGGGCTTTTTTCCGTGGGGCCGTATATTTGCGTACCTGTCTTTGTGCTGGGAGTGCGCCGCAGCGTGTGCTCCTAGCACAAAGACCAGGGTGTGACTGAGAGCCCCGGGGCCCGGTCCCTGCGCACTCCCAGCACAAAGACCAGGGTGTGACTGAGAGCCCCGGGGCCTGGTCCCTGCGCACTCCCAGCACAAAGACCAGGGTGTGACTGAGAGCCCCGGGGCCCGGTCCCTGCGCACTCCCAGCACAAAGACCAGGGTGTGACTGAGAGCCCCGGGGCCCGGTCCCTGCGCACTCCCAGCACAAAGACCAGGGTGTGACTGAGAGCCCCGGGGCCCGGTCCCTGCGCGCACTCCCAGCACAAAGACGGTCTAATGATCGGGTCCCAGGAATCCCAACTCCGGGTCACATGATTGCTGTGAGAGCCTCTGATTGGCTATCACAGTGATCAGTCACTGTATAGCCCGGCCCCCTTGTTTTGTTTTTTTTGTTCTATGAATGGAAGAGAGAGATACATTGTAACTCTCTTAACTCCTGGCATAGAGAAAAAAAAGTGTTTAAAAAATAAAGAAAAAATACCTAAATCAAGGTTTTATCTAGTTCAGTGCCGGGGTCAGTGTTTGGGTCAAAGGTCAGGAGTTTTAATTTTTTTTTAATTTTTAAATGGGTATCAGTGTGTTTTAGGTAAAAAAAAAAAAAAAAAACCCCAAAAATAAAATGCTCCCTATTGTTTCTGGGCCGTACTCCGGGTACAAACAACAAATTACACACACATGTGGTATCGCTGCGATCGTCAGGAGCTGGAGAATTTATTTTGGGTTGCTCTTTGGTGGTCGGTTATAGTAACGAGAAGCACACAGCTAAATTAAAAAAAATATTTTTTTTTTATTATTTTGGGCCAGTTTTCCTTTGATAATAAAAAAAAAAATCTGAAGATATCCGTTACCATTTACCACCAAATGAAGCCCAATCTGTCCTGAACAAAATCGCGGTATAATCCGGATGTACGAAGTAGTTGTGATGCTACGGACGGTTTTACTAACGTGTCAATGTTGTAAAATTGTGCTTGGGCATTAAGATTTTTGTTTTACCCTCAGGCATGAAGGGGTTAATCTTCCCCCCCCCCCCCCCCCAATTCCCTTCTCTTAAATGTATGAATGATATGTTGTCATCTGCAGATTGTGGACTCGTGGGATGAGAAGGACCCTGAGCTGGCCGGCTTGCTTAAGAATGTCCTGCGGAGCTTCGAGGACGACTCTTTGTACGATGAGCCGGAGCTGTTTTAGTCCGCCATTAATGACGACTCCCCCCGATGAGCCGGAGCTGTTTTAGTCCGCCATTAATGACGACTCCCCCCGATGAGCCGGAGCTGTTTTAGTCCGCCATTAATGACGACTCCCCCCGATGAGCCGGAGCTGTTTTAGTCCGCCATTAATGACGACTCCCCCCGATGAGCCGGAGCTGTTTTAGTCCGCCATTAATGACAACCCCCCCCCCCCGCGTGGCTGTGCCGCCGGTGTGGTTTGTGCAGGAAGTATACGGAACGATCGATGGTCGAGTCATTGCAAGGACCAGCCGCCACTGTTTACTGTGTAAATAATTTATTCAAAGGCTTCCAGTTAATATCATAAATTATCCGCCGATCTACCTACTGTTATGTTAGAACGTAAACCAAAGAGGGGGGCGGTAACACTGCTCTGCAGCGACTCGCCTGGTTTCCAGTTCATGGAGGGAGCACCTCAGGGGGGGGACGCCTGGAGTGCCACCACAAAAAAAATAAGACTTTGTTTTATGTTCACTGTGTGAAATGGAAGGACTTGGTGGGTCGGCTTTGTGCTCCGAACAGCAAAACAATTAAAAAAAGAGTATAAAAAGTTAAGTCTTCCATTTTTTTTTTTCCTGTCCAGTCCTCAGCTGGGCAGTTGTTGAGCCAGTTCTGGTTTCACAGCTTCCATCGTCCCTGAGGGGGTATCGGGTTCGGTTTCCGGGGGCTTGGCCGGGCTCTGGGTGAGCGGGTGGACCATAGACATGTGCACGTTGAGATTGTGCGCCTTCTCAAAACGTTTCCCGCATTGGTCGCATGCAAACTCCAGGTCGGCCTCAGCCTTGTGCTTGGTCATGTGGTACTTGAGTGACGCGCGTTGTCTGCACTGGAAGCCGCACACTTCACATCTGACGGGAGGAAAAGGAACGGGAATGTGTTAGACAACGCGGTCACATGACCGATCAGATGATGTACAAAGCTATGTGTGCTTCGGCCCGCGTACAAAGACATCAAAGCGTGACGGAACCACGAAGTTCCAGGGAGGAGATTAACCCCTAGAGGCCGAGCACACGCAAATATGCAACCTCAAGGTGTCTGGGGTCTTGACGCCGAGCGGCCGCATATTTTCGTACCATTTGAAGATACATATGTGCTGAGAGCGCGCGCCCTGCCCGCTCCCAGCACGTGTCCGTGACTCACAGAAAGGTCCCGATCTCCCCTTGTGATCGGGACCTTTTCTGATTATGTGACAGCGAATCACAGCAGTCACATGACCCTACAACTATGCCCCGCCTCCTGGCTTCTGAAACTTAAAAGGTTGGGAGGCGCAGGTGCAAAGGGGTTAACCACGTCAGCCCCCCACCATTTCTGGCATTTTTTTTTTTTTTACATTTTTAAATCTGTACTTTTTGCTAGAAAATTTCTTAGAACCCCCAAACATATATTTTATAAAGCTGAGTCCCTAGAGAATAAATTGGTGGTTTTTACAATTTTTTTTTACATGGTATTTGTGAAGCATTTTTTCCAAACGCAATTTTTGGGGAAAAAAATACACTTTTAAGTTTTATTGTGAAGAAAACAATACAAAACCCATTTTTGTGTACAATATAAAAGATGATGTTATACTTAGTACACTATAGTGCCCGACGTATTGTCCCCGCCCCCCAAATCATGTGATTCAGGTGTTCCAATCCCTTCACATCATGTGATTCAGGTGTTCCAATCCCCTTCACATCATGTGATTCAGGTGTTTCAATCCCCTCCACATCATGTGATTCAGGTGTTCCAATCCCCTTCACATCATGTGATTCAGGTGTCCCAATCCCCTCACATCATGTGATTCAGGTGTCCATATCATGTGATTCAGGTGTTCCAATCCCCTTCACATCATGTGATTCAGGTGTTCCAATCCCCTTCACATCATGTGATTCAGGTGTTCCAATCCCCTCCATATCATGTGATTCAGGTGTTCCAATCCCCTTCACATCATGTGATTCAGGTGTTCCCAATCCCCTCCACATCATGTGATTCAGGTGTTCCAATCCTCTCCATATCATGTGATTCAGGTGTTCCAATCCCCTCCAATCATGTGATTCAGGTGTTCCAATCCCCTCCATGGACACAGGTGTATACAATCATCCCCTAGGCATGCAGACTGTTTCTACAAACATTGGTGAAAGAATGGGTCGCTCTCAGGAGCTCCGTGACTCCAACGTGGTCCCGTGATAGGTGGCCACCTGGGCAATAAGTCCATCCGGGACATTTCCTGGCTACTAAATATTCCACGCTCAACTGTTAGTGAGATTATAACAAAGTGGAAGCCACTGGGAACAACAGCCACTCAGCCACCAAGTGGTAGGCCACGTCACATGACAGGGCGGGGTCAGCGCATGCTGAAGCGCACAGTGCGCAGAAGTCACCAACTGTCTGCAGAGTCAATAGCTAAAGACCTCCAAACTTGGTGTGGCCTTCAGATGAGCCCAACAACAGTGTGTAGAGAGCTTCATGGAATGGGTTTCCATGGCCGAGCAGCTGCAGCCAAGCCTTCCATCACCAAGTGCAATGCAAAGCGTCGGATGCCGTGGTGTAAAGCACGCCGCCACTGGACTCTAGAGCAGTGGAGACATGTTCTCTGGACCCCGTGTTCACTGTATCCGCCCTCCCCGGACCCCGTTCACTGTATCCGCCCTCCCCGGACCCCGCGTTCACTGTATCCGCCCTCCCCGGACCCCGCGTTCACTCTACCCGCCCTCCCCGGACCCCGCGTTCACTCTACCCGCCCTCCCCGGACCCCGCGTTCACTCTACCCGCCCTCCCCGGACCCCGCGTTCACTCTACCCGCCCTCCCCGGACCCCGCGTTCACTCTACCCGCCCTCCCCGGACCCCGCGTTCACTCTACCCGCCCTCCCCGGACCCCGCGTTCACTCTATCCCGCCCTCCCCGGACCCCGCTCACTCACTACCCGCCCTCCCCGGACCCCGCGTTCACTATACCCGCTCCCCGGACCCGCGTTCACTCTACCCGCCCTCCCCGGACCCCCGTTCACTATATCCCGCACTCCCTGGACCCCGCACCGCTCCCCCTACAGTAACCGCTCTCCCCGGTCCCCGCGTTCACTATATCCGCTCTCGGACCCCGCACAGTGAGTATAACAAGCACGCTTCCTGCATCTACAGACGGATGTCACTGTTGAGGGTTCAGAAACACTTTAATGCTGTAAGCTGCCCATTTCGGGGGTCCATGTGATACGTTGGTGGTCAGAATCTAATCCCAATACATTGGATGTATTTTCTGTCTGGTTTCCGGTGGGCTGGAGATCGGGTGGGTAGGTAGGTAGGTAGGTGTGCTGTCAGCAGTGATGTACTTACTGTAAGGGTTTTGCTCCTGAGTGTCTCATCTGATGCACAGATAAGTGTTTCCGCTGCTTGAAGGCCTGTCCACACTGGTCACAGATGTAATTCCTCTCCTCTGGAATCAGATCACAGGCATGGTGTCAGGCATGGTGTCAGACAACAGACAAGAAGATTTCTTACAGCCGCACTAAACCTAACAATATACCAATGTGCAGCCTGAGGGTCCTGAGGGGCAGCGGCTGCATTCGGTTTCTTTTTTTTTTTTTCCACCTGGTGATCCTGCCATTGACACGCTTCCTGTGCTGGGATACGCTGTACAGTATCTATGGAAAAGCAGCATTGTCACCCCAGGGCAGGACGTGTTACTGAAGAAGAGGTACTATTGTTCCCACAATGAAATGTATTCTGTGATTGGAGGAGGGAGACACCCCCCCCCCCCCCCCACCCCCGCAGTGCTGCCAGGTTCCCTCCTCTCCTTTCCACTGCCAGCTGCAAGCACACAAAAGGATCCTTCAGGATGGAGAGTGGGGGAGGGGTCCGGGAACTATGTTACCAGTCACTTCCTTTCCTGAATGAACACAAGGAGTGATCAGTACTGATCATTCACTGTTTTTTTTGGGGGGGGGGGGGTCGGGGGGGCTGTCAGGTTGGCTGTATGGGGCCCCATGGTTTCTAACAGCAGCCCTGTATGCAAATGACAGGAAAAGGCTGAGAGCCGGCAGCATGATGCTCAGCACAGTGGTTAGCACTTCCACCTAGCATTGGTTCAAATCCCAGCCACGGCACCACCTGCCTGGAGTTTGCATGTTCTCCCTGTGCCTGCGTGGGTTTCCTCCCACACTCCAAACACCTACAATTGGCAGAGCTGAATGGGCAGAGTACAGGTTTGCTTTAAAACTCTTAAAATGGAGAGTCTAGCTGTACGCCCCGATGTGGGCGTGGACTCCAGGTTAGGGTGTGGCTGTACACCCCTCGGTCATTAGAGCGTACCCCCCGTAGGCGATACAAGTGCCGTCACCTGTGTGGATGAGCTTGACGTGTCTCTGCAGGTAGCGGTCTATCATGAACACTTTGTTGCAGCCGGGATGGGGGCAGGGTCGCTCCCGCACCTCCTCGTGATGTTCCTTAATGTGTTTCTGTAAGACAGGGGAGAGGTCAGGACGTGTTCCGGGAGTGACGTGTTCCGGGAATGACGTGTTCCGGGAGTGACATTCAGGCTCAGCCGGAGTGCTCTACGTACCTTCATCCCATCCGCACCTCTGTACACGGCAGTGCAGCCCTGATAAGGACACTTGTAGATTGTAGGCAGCTCCTCCCTGGAAGACAATGGAATATTGCTGAGATACACGCGGTGCGACCATTCCTGAGGCTCCTCCCATGGGCGTGGCATGCTGGGAAAGCTGAAATCACCCCGCCCTTCGCAATACGGATAATATGCTGCCTGTTATTATTATTATACAGGATTTATGGCGCCATTACAATCTACGAGGGAGGGGCTGATCCTGGGAGTTTACAATCTAGGATGGAGGCCCTGATCCTGGGAGTTTACAATCTACGAGGGAGGGGCTGATCCCGGGAGTTTACATCTAAGAGGGAGGGGCTGATCCTGGGAGTTTACAATCTAAGAGGGAGGGGCTGATCCTGGGAGCTTACAATCTAAGAGGGAGGGGCTGATCCTGGGAGTTTACAATCTAGGATGGAGGCCCTGATCCAATACAATCTAAGAGGGAGGGGCTGATCCCGGGAGCTTACAATCTAAGAGGGAGGGGCTGATCCCGGGAGTTTACAATCTAAGAGGGAGGGGCTGATCCCGGGAGCTTACAATCTAAGAGGGAGGGGCCTGATCCCGGGAGCTTACAGTCTAAGAGGGAGGGCCTGATCCGGGAGCTTACAATCAAGAGGGAGGGGCTGATCCCGGGAGCTTACAATCTAAGAGGGAGGGGCTGATCCCGGGAGCTTACAATCTAAGAGGGAGGGCCTGATCCTGGGAGCTTACAATTTAAGAGAGAGGGGCTGATCCTGGGAGCTTACAATCTAAGAGGGAGGGCCTGACCCTGGGAGCTTACAATCTAAGAGGGAGGGGCTGATCCTGGGAGTTTACAATCTAAGAGGGAGGGGCTAGGGAGTTTACAAATGTCTAGGTGGAGGCCCTGATCCTGGGAGTTTACAATCTAAGAGGAGGGGCTAGATCCCGGGAGCTTACAATCTAAGAGGGGAGGGGCTGATCCTGGGAGTTTACAATCTAAGGGAGGGGCTGATCCTGGGAGCTTGCTTTGGAGTTACAATCTAAGAGGAGGGGCTATCCAATCTAAGAGGGAGGGGCTGATTCCCGGGAGTTTACAATCTAAGAGGGAGGGGCTGATCCCGGGAGTTTACAATCTAAGAGCCACTGATCCCGGGAGTTTACAATCTAAGAGGGAGGGGCCTGATGGAGCTGAGAATCTATGAGGGAGGGGCCCTGATTACCGGACCGCTGACAATCAGGGAGGGGCTGATTCCGGGGCTGACACTAAGGGGGAGGGCCACCGGGAGTACATTGCCAAGGAGGGAGGGGGAGGGGCTGATCCCGGGAGCTTACAAAGGAGGGGAGGGACTTGGCCAATCTAAGGGGGAGGGCCTGATCCCGGGAGCTTCTTAATCTAAGGGAGAGCCCTGACCCTGGGAGCTTACAGTCTAAGAGGGAGGGGCTGATCCGGAGCTTACAATCTAAGAGGGAGGGCCTGATTCTGGGAGCTTACATCCAAGAGGGAGGGGCTGTGCTTACAATCTAAGAGGGAGGGGCTGATCCTGGGAGCTTACAATGAAGGAGAGACGCTGATCCTGGGAGTTTACAATCTAAGGGAGGGCCTATCCAGCTTACAAAAGAGGGAGGCCTGAAAATGGGAGCTTCAATCTAAGAGGGAGGGGGCTGATCTGGGAGTTTGCAAATCTAAGAGGGAGGGGCTAGTGGTACAAATGTTACTGTGGGGGATGGGCTGGTAGGAGGAGTAGAAGATTCGGCTGTTGTCTCCTCTCGTCAGTTTGCTTTGCAGTCCTCAACTTGTGGCAAACTTCCCCCCTCCTTCAGGCGAAGGGCCAACCAGCCAATCCGGTACAAGAGGCCTGCACTTAGATTTATGACCCGGGGCCCCCACCGCCCAATCACTGCCATTGTGGCCCACTCACCGGTTAGTCATTGCCGGGAGGAAGGGACTTGGCCTTGTATCCTTCTTCTATCGTGATAAATACAGAGCTTTCTGTGTCGTGTTGAATTCTAATCCTTGAGAAGTAGGACAGACACCGATGGAGCCTAATTTTATCCAATAAAAAGGTCCCCGCCATGCATGCCATGAAAAATCTCTGCACACACCTCCACACCTCTGACCCCCCTTCCCTGTTCTCCATGATCAAAAAGGGTATAAAAGAGCGTTCATGGAATCATGCGTTCATCTGCTGCACTAATGGGGGCTCCACGCCTCTCCCCTTCCATGTTCTCTTGTACACTCGGATGGATCCCAGCCCCCGCTCACAACGTGGCGGCAGGATGAAAAGAGATATTACTTCATGTGAAACGTCACACCAACCAATCGTGTTCTATCAGTGATGGGGATATTGACACCGGCATCCTTCCGTGTGTACAACATTCTTCATGTATGAGCCTTACAATTGAAACCATCTGAGATATACACTCACCGGCCACTTTATGAGGTCCACCATGCTAGTGCCATGAAAAATCCCCCACACCATGACACCACCCCCAGCCTGAACCATGGATACAAGGCAGGATGGATCCCCCACACCATGACACCACCACCACCACCTGAACTGAACCATTGATACAAGGCAGGATGGATCCACCAACCACCATGACACCACCACCACCAGCCTGAACCATTGATACAAGGCAGGATGGATCCCCCACACCATGACACCACCACCAGCCTGAAACCATTGATACAAGGCAGGATGGATCCCCCACACCATGACACCACCCACCACCAGCCTGAACCATTGATACAAGGCAGGATGGATCCCCCACACCATGACACCACCACCACCAGCATGAACCGATGATACAAGGCAGGATGGATCCCCACCACCACCACAGCCACACCATTGATACAAGGCGGGAACACCATCCCCCAGCCTGAACCATCGATACAAGGAAGGATGGATCCCCCCACACCATGACACCACCACCACCAGCCTAAGGAAGGAACCATTGATACACCAAGGCAGGATGGATCCATGCTTTCATGTTGTTTACGCCAAATTCTGACCCTACCATCTGAATGTCGCAGCTGAAATCCAGACTCATCACACCAGGCAACGTTTTTCCAATCTTCTATCATCCAATTTTGGTGATTCTGTGCGAATTGTGGCCTCCGTTTCCTGTTCTTAGTATTCTGCATACCTTGGGTGTAATGAGGGGTTATTGGAGTTCCTGTTGCCTTTCTATCATCTCCCACCAGTCTGCCCATTCTCCTCTGACCTCAACAAGGCATTTTCCTCCACACAACTACAGCTCACTGGATATTTTCTCTTTTTTGGACCATTCTCTGTAACCCCCGGAGATAGTTGTGCAGGAAAATCCCAGGAGATCGGCAGTTTGTGAAATTCTCAGACCGGCCCGTCTGGCACCAACAACCATACCACGTTCAGTCACTTAAATCCCCTTTCTTCCCCATTCTGATGCTCGGTTTGAACTTCAGAAAGTCTCTTCACCACATTTAGATGCCTAAACGCATTGAGTTGCTGCCATGTGATTGGCTGATTAGCCATTTGTGTGACGGAGCCATGGAACAGGCGGACCTAATAAAGTGCCCGGTGAGTGTAGATTGACTGACAGCTTGTGCTTTGTGGATGTCTGAAGATTTGATCTCCCAATTGCTGAGTTTATAGTTCAACTTTTGTAACTTTGCAGAAACTGACTGTTTTTTTACAAGTAGGATTATTGTTGAATTGCGATATTTGTTTATAATTCCTGAGAGAAATGGCGCCACACTAACCGCTCTCTTTTGATGACGTTCTTCCATCCTGGTTTGGGTCCCGGCTTCTTCCTTTCTCTGGGTTCTCGTGTCTTCCTGGCCTCTCTGTGTCGGCTCTTCCTTGGAGCGATCCTGAAAACAAAACAGGAAGATGTCGGCTCTCCCGGTACCAGTGAGGGGCCCAATGAGCTCAGAACAATACCTCCCCCCCCCCCCCAACACCACACTCACCCCCCCTCCCCCACATCCACACTCCCCTCCTCACCTGCTGGCTCCCTACCCCCCCGGCTCCACCCCCCCCCCCCCCTCCTCACCTGCTGGCTCCCTCCCCCCCTGCTCCACCCACCCGCCCCCCTCCTCACCTGCTGCCTCCCTCCCCCCTGCTCCACCCACCACCCGCCCCCCCCTCCTCACCTGCTGGCTCCCTCCCCCCCCCCCCCCCCCGCTCCAGCCACCCGCCCCCCCTCCTCACCTGCTGCCTCCCCCCTCCTCACCTGCTGGCTCCCTCCCCCCCGCTCCACCCACCCTCCCCCCTCCTCACCTGCCCAGCGGTCTCCCTCCCACTTCCTGCTCTCTCCTCCCCTGATCCACCCGACTTCTCACCCTGGTCTGCCCGGTACAGCACTGGGGAGGTGCAGTTTAGCCCGGGGTCAGCAAAGGAGAGACATGATCTACCCGTCACATGACCGTGATTGACAGGTAGCCACCCCCAGCTATGGAAGGTTTGTTTGGTTTTTTTCTTTCCTTTTTGTTCAGTTAACGGGCTGAACAAGAAAAAAACTCTGATTCCTCCATCCACCTGCCTTGTGTGGATGGAGGACGTGGAATTCTGACACTGAGACCCGCCCACTAGCTGAATACACGGATCAGCGGCTGTAAAACAAATTTTCCAGTATATTCCTATGACAGAAGTCGATCAAATGGCTACACAATGATGAGGATTCAGCCGGTCCCTGCTGGACCCGGAACGTCGATCGGTGTATGGCTGGCTGGAGTCGGCGACTCACAAGGTACAGAAGCAATAACCAGTACGGTGGCCCTGGAACCTGCACCTCCCACAGCAAGTCAGCGGCGGCCGCCCCTTTATCTATTCTCAGGTTCTCATCATCAGAAATGTGTGTTTCAGGATCATCGATTGTCTGGCAGCTGCACATATATTACCTCTTCTCTGGATACGGCTCAAAGGAGTCATCTGAAGACAGGAGGTCCCCCCCTCTCCTCTGCATCTTCCTTACTCTGGGATTCTCTGTGGAGGGAAAAAGTCGTCGCTTTCCTGAGTTTTATCGCCATTTACCTGGACAGACCCATTACAGAGCCACCGCCCTGAGATGTATATCATTTATTTACTTCAGGTACTTATATAGAGGCGTCAATTTTTTCCGCAGCACTTTACATATCTATTGTACATTCACATCAGGCCCCGCCCCCGAGGAGCGTACAATCTAAGGTCCCTAACTCACATTCATACATACACATACTAGGGACAATATAGACAGGAGCCAATTCACCTCCCAGCATGTCTTTGGAGTGTGGGAGGAAACTGGAGTACCTGGAGGAAACCCACTCAGGCACAGGGAGAACATGGGAACTCCAGGCAGGTGGTATCACTTTACATATATATTGTACATTCCCATCAGTCCCCGCCCCCGAGGAGTGTACAATCGAAGGTCCCTAACTCACATTCATACATACTAGGGAGAATATAGACCGGATCCAATGGACCTCCCATGCACACACACAGGCAACTTACCCGTCTGACAGCTCGCTGCCCTCCTCCTTTCCCAGCTCATTTGAGGTCTGAGCGAAAGATTCTCCAACGAGTTCTGTAAGAAACAAAGAAAATCCATTACTACTCTATGGAAGTACGACCCCCCCCCCCCCCCCCCCCCCCGCCACTTTCCAGGCGTGAGCTGGTCACACATTATACAATTTTCTCACGGTTAGGGTTTCCTCTCGATTTACCCTCTTCTATGCCGTTCCAGGGCCCCCCCCCCTGACTGCATGCAAATTGTAAAGTGTTTAAGTTTGACCTCGTATTCTATGATTTTGGTAAATCTAAAGGAAAATTGTACAAGAAAATTGTACAGTGGGGATGGAAAGTTTGGGCACCCCAGCTAAAAATGTGTATTAATGTGCATAAAGAAGCCAAGGAAAGATGGAGAAATCTCCAAAAGGCATCAAATTACAGATTAGACATTCTTATAATATGTCAACAAAAGTTAGATTTTATTTCCATCATTTACACTTTCAAAATAACAGAAAACAAAAAAATGGCGTCTGCAAAAGTTTGGGCCCCCTGCAGAATTTATAGCATGCACTGCCCCCTTTGCCAAGCTGAGACCTGCCAGTGTCATGGATTGTTCTCAATCATCGTCTGGGAAGACCAGGTGATGTCAATCTCAAAGGTTTTAAATGCCCCGACTCATCTGACCTTGCCCCAACAATCAGCACCATGGCTTCTTCTAAGCAGTTGTCTAGAAAACTGAAACTGAAAATAGTTGACGCTCACAAAGCTGGAGAAGGCTATAAGAAGATAGCAAAGCGTTTTTACATGTCAATATCCTCTGTTCGGAACGTCATTAAGAAATGGCAGTCATCAGGAACAGTGGAAGTTAAAGCAAGATCTGGAAGACCAAGAAAAATATCAGACAGAACAGCTCACAGGATTGTGAGAAAAACAATTGAAAACCCACGTTTGACTGCACGATCCCTCCAGAAAGATCTGGCAGACACTGGAGTTGTGGTCACTATTCCACTATAAAGAGATACTTGTACAAATATGGTCTTCATGGAAGAGTCATCAGAAGAAAACCTCTTCTACGTCCTCACCACAAAAATCATCCAACTGTGAAGCATGGGGTTTGATCAATCATGCTTTGGGGTTGTGTTGCAGCCAGTGGCACAGGGAACATCTCACGAGTAGAAGGAAAAATGGATTCAATAAAATTTCAGCAAATTTTGGATGGTAACTTGATGCCATCTGTGAAAAAGCTGAAGTTAAAGAGAGGATGGCTTCTACAAATGGATAATGATCCTAAACACACCTGGAAATCCACGGGGGATTACATCAAGAGGTGTAAACTGAAGGTTTTGCCATGGCCTTCACAATCTCCTGACCTCAACATCATTGAAATTCTATGGATAGACCTTCAAAGAGCCGTGCGTGACAGACAGCCCAGAAATCTCAAAGAACTGGAAGACTTTTGTAAGGAAGAATGGGCAAAGATACCTCAAACAAGAATTGAAAGACTCTTGGCTGGCTACAAAAAGTGTTTACAAGCCGTGATACTTGCCAAAGGGGGCAGTACAAGATATTAACTCTGCAGGGGGCCAAACTTTTGCAGACGCCATTTTTTTGTTTTCTGTTATTTTGAAAGTGTAAATGATGGAAATAAAATCTAACTTTTGTTGACATATTATAAGAATGTCTAATCTGGAATTTGATGCCTTTTGGAGATTTTTCCATCTTTCCTTGGCTTCTTTATGCACATTAATACACATTTTTAGCTGGGGTGCCCAAACTTTCCATCCCCACTGTATAGTGTATGGCCCGGCCTTTATTACAGAAACTCCCAAGTCCCGCTTTGACTGGATCACCTCTCAAGAGATTTCTTGTGAAAACAGTCTGCGGTACCAGGGCGGGTCCAATGATCCCGTAGAGCAGCGGTTCTCAACCTGGGGGTCGCGACCCCTTTGGGGGTCGAACGACCATTTCCCAGGGGTCGCCTAAGACCATCGGAAAACACATATTTCCGATGGGTCTTAGGAACCGAGACACCGCTGCTCTGTCTCGCGATCTGTGGGCGGGATGATATGCTGCCCCTGTAACCTGGCCACACCTCCGGGATCACTCAACAGCTCCGCCTCCTCGCCGCTGATTGGCCACCGGAACTGTAGCTCAGGAGAGGCACACAGGCGGCCAATCACCGGCGAGGAGGTGGAGCTTGGAGAGGAGGAGCCGAGCGGCAGAGCGCGCAGATCGAAGAAGATCGAGGGAGCTGCAGGACCGAGTGAAGAGGAGAGAGGCCAGAGAAGGAAGACAGCTGACAGGTAAGTGCAAATTTTGCTTCTGCAGGCTGTAGATGGGAGAGGGAGAGAGCGAGCCCAGGCTGGAGCAGGGGTCAGCAAGGTAAGTATCATTGGTGTCAGTGGGAGGAATAGTGCCCCATCATTTGTGTCACTAATACCAACGATGGGGCACTATTCCTCCCCCCACTGACACCAGCGATGGGGCACTATTCCTCCCCCCACTGACACCAACGATGGGGCACTATTCCTCCCCCCACTGACACCAATGATGGGGCACTATTCCTCCCCTCACTGACACCAATGATGGGACACTATTCCTCCCACTGACACCAACGATGGGGCACTATTCCTCCCCCACTGACACCAACGATGGGGCACTATTCCTCCCACTGACACCAACGATGGGGCACTATTCCTCCCACTGACACCAACGATGGGGCACTATTCCTCCCACTGACACCAACGATGGGGCACTATTCCTCCCACTGACACCAATAATGGGGCACTATTCCTCCCACTGACACCAATGATGGGGCACTATTCCTCCCCCCACTGACACCAACGATGGGGCACTATTCCTCCCCCCACTGACACCAACGATGGGGCACTATTCCTCCCCCCACTGACACCAACGATGGGGCACTATTCCTCCCCCCACTGACACCAACGATGGGGCACTATTCCTCCCCCCACTGACACCAACGATGGGGCACTATTCCTCCCCCCACTGACACCAACGATAGGCACTATTCCTCCCCCCACTGACACCAACGATGGGGCACTATTCCTCCCCCCACTGACACCAACGATGGGGCACTATTCCTCCCCCCACTGACACCAACGATGGGGCACTATTCCTCCCCCCACTGACACCAACGATGGGGCACTATTCCTCACCCCACTGACACCAACGATGGGGCACTATTCCTCCCCCCACTGACACCAATGATAGGCACTATTCCTCCCCCACTGACACCAACGATGGGGCACTATTCCTCCCCCCACTGACACCAATGATAGGCACTATTCCTCCCACTGACACCAATGATGGGGCACTATTCCTCCCACTGACACCAATGATGGGGCACTATTCCTCCCACTGACACCAATGATGGGGCACTATTCCTCCCACTGACACCAATGATGGGACACTATTCCTCCCACTGATACCAATGATGGGGCACTATTCCTCCCACTGACACCAATGATGGGACACTATTCCTCCCACTGACACCAATGATGGAGCACTATTCCCCCCACTGACACCAATGATGGGGCACTATTCCTCCCACTGACACCAATGATGGGGCACTATTCCTCCCACTGATACCAATGATGGGGCACTATTCCTCCCACTGATACCAATGATGGGGCACTATTCCTCCCACTGATACCAATGATGGGGTACTATTCCTCCCACTGACACCAACGATGGGGCACTATTCCTCCCACTGATACCAACAATGGGACACTATTCCTCCCACTGACACCAATGATTGGACACTATTCCTCCCACTGACACCAACGATGGGGCACTATTCCTCCCACTGACACCAATGATGGGGCACTATTCCTCCCAGTGACACCAATGATGGGGCACTATTCCTCCCACTGACACCAATGATGGGGCACTATTCCCCCCACTGACACCAATGATGGGACACTATTCCTCCCACTGACACCAATGATGGGGCACTATTCCTCCCAGTGACACCAATGATGGGGCACTATTCCTCCCACTGACACCAATGATGGGGCACTATTCCTCCCACTGACACCAATGATGGGACACTATTCCCCCCACTGACACCAACGATGGAGCACTATTCCTCCCACTGACACCAATGATGGGGCACTATTCCTCCCACTGACACCAATGATGGGGCACTATTCCTCCCAGTGACACCAATGATGGGGCACTATTCCTCCCACTGACACCAATGATGGGGCACTATTCCTGCCACTGCAAAATTACAGTTCTGAAGTAGCAACGAAAATAATTTTATGGTTGGGGGTCACCACAACATGAGGAACTGTATTAAGGGGTCGCGGCATTAGAAAGGTTGAGAACCACTGCTGTAGAGGATGGAAGCACACATAGGCAGTAGCGGTGTACATACAGACACATGTAGACTCGATGGGGCAGAAAAGATCGACATTTACGGAGCGAACTCAGATATTGTGCAATGAATTGAACACGAGACAGAATCTCGTCCGGAGGGGATGACAGGATATTACGTAACGAGATTATCAAATGTTTGTCACGATGAGCAGATCTGACCGTCCGCGTGAGACGCGTGAAAAGGAGAGAAGTGACATGGAATTCGGGGTGAAAAGAGGAAGATTCCAATAGAAGAGAATGTAGAGGGGGGAAGGGGCGGAGCCCAAAGAGTAGGAGGGCGAGTTGTTAAAGGGTAACTCCGCTTCTGTGGGAAAATATAGCAAATAAATATAACATACAATCGCTACACGAGTCACATTGTAACTGAATGTTATAAATCATCTTTCAATCAGCAGCCGCTGTCATTTACGGTAAAATGCAATATGGCCGCCTGGCGGCGTTGTGTACACAGATGGTATAAGGACCGCCCACCAGAAATGTCATTTCCTGCTGTGTGATTGGCTCACTGATTTTCCCAGAAGTCTGCACTAAGATACAAGCCAGATCTTGGGCCTCCCCTGCAACAAAAATGTCATTTTTGGTGAGATACTCCCAGAGGGAAATCGTATTTAAAGGGATGCAGACCCTGCCACTTTCCTCATCAGAGCCCTGCAGGTGCAGCAGCTGATTGAT